AATCCCCCACATCACAATGATCTGGTTTTTCTTTTGCTGAGTACCAGATGAAAAACAAGTAGTGCTAAACACTACAATCAGAACCAGCATTTGGGATCTGAGGCGCAAGTGGGGGAAAATTTGGCTCCCTCTCAAGTCACGTAGGGCATGTGCTCAGTGGGTGAAAGGGCAAGCAGAACTGCCCTTGTCTTTCAGCACACACACACCTGCTTTTGCTTTTGTTTTGGCAGAGTTGAATTTGGCAGAGTTAGTTGAATTTGTAGGGCTTACAGACATGTGCTAAAGCTGTATCTGCCACAAACAAAACACCTTGTGAGGCGTCTTTCCTTCAGTGTGGTGAGCTCCTTTCTGTTTTTTCTCTCACTGAAAAGCAGCACTAGAATTTGGGAACCTGACCTCAGCTCAAGAGGCGTTGCTACCTGATATAGGGATAATCTTATTTCTTTTGCCAATGATTTGGTTCAGGAGCAGGTACAGTATACTACACTTGACCAAAATGAAAACTAAAAAATCCAGTTAGGTGGATAGTTCCAGAAAAAATTTTACCACTTTGTTTTTTTGAGACAGGGTCTTGCTATGCAGTTTAGGCTGCCCTTAAACTCATTATGTAGCCCAGGCTGGCCTTGAACTTGCCTTCTGAGTGCTGGGATTACAGTTGTGCATCACCATGATGTCCAGCCCTGTTAGTTTTTGAGCCAAGGTCTCACCATGTAATCCATGTTGGCCTTGAACTCATTATGTAGCTCACACCAGCCTCATGGCATCCTCCTGGCTCAGCATCCTGAATGCTGAGATAGATCACAGGTGTGTACCACCATGCCTATGTGCTCGGCTTTTTTCTTTTTTTGGCAGAACCGGGGATTGAACTCAGACCCTTGCACTTGCCAGGGAAGTGCTTATTCTACTGAGCCATCTACCAGGCCCCAACTCTGCTCTTTAAAAAGAACATTAAAAACTCAGGTTCCCCTCTCCTACCCAAAGTAAAGGTAGGAGCATGTAGTCCCAACTGCTACTACTGGTAGCCATCATACAATCGTGAGGGGACTAGGTCTAAGAGGAACACTTGGAGGACAACAGAACATAGAAAATTTGGGTTCCTGATAGCATTGCTAAGCCACTGAATCAACCAGCCCGGACATCTTTCCTATGCTTAGAATAGCTGTTCTGAGTTAGTCATGATGGTGCACACCTGTAGTAGTCCAGTACTCTGGGAAGCTAGCACAGGAAGGTCACAAGTGGTAGCCCAGTTGAACTGTTTCAAAATGAAAAATAAAAAATGAACCCTGGGGATACAGCTTATAGCAAAGGTCCTGGGGTCCAATCCTCACTACTGTAGCAGGGAATGCCCTTAATAAAATTAGAATAGTTTGAGTTAGGCTTTCTGTTATTTATAGCTGAGAGATTCCTAAACAGATACATTCATGATGGGGCAAAAGAGACTCCACTGCAGAGGGTCACTTAAGTTCACTTAATCTACAGATACTCATCCCCATATCCCCTCTACTAACTGAC